TTTTTAAATAAAATATAAATTAATGTTTTTAACTCTTAATTGTTAAAAAAATCAATGTTTGTTTTTATATTCAAGAGTTTGTTTTTCTTTCGAACCAGATCTTCTGGACCGTCTGGAGCGGCTGAGGGGATCGGAGAAGACAGTTGGAGAGGTGGGGCCCACTCTCTTGGACTGGGTGAGTATCTGCGAACGTCTCTGCGAACGTCTCTATGAACGTCTCTGCTCTGCCCGCATTTGTCTCAACCCGTCCTGTTCCGTCCTCCTCCTCAGTTCCCTTGTCTGGACGCCTACATCACATACTGCTGCAACCAGGTGGGGGCCAAAGCCCTGCTGGAYCAGAAGAAGCACGAGAAGCGCGTGGAGCACTTCCTGCATTTGTGTCAGGAGTCTTCGTTCAGCAGGAAGTTGGACTTGTGGAGCTTCCTGGACCTCCCTCGGAGCCGCCTGGTCAAATACCCTCTGCTGTTGAAGGAGATCCAGAAGTGCACGCCCCCGGAGCACCCGGACGAGGAAACTATACCCGAGGCTGTGAGTTGAGTTTCCTCCGTTTTACAGCAGTGATGAACGTTTGCTCCTCGACAGTTTGTGCATGCACACATGCAATCACTCAGCTGTCAAATTTCAGACTTTTATTGTGGTGCATCTACGCTCATCTTTACTATGTTAAATCTGTAAAGGCATTCAGAATTCCCTCGTGTCAAAAACAATCATCTTTCGTGTCCAAATTTCTGTATTGGCAGCTGCAAACCTTTAATTTCTGAATATGAATCTTTTTTTATTGATCTAAGCTCAGAYAGAGTCATGTTTTGGTTCTAGAAACAACTTGCAGATTCCTCAGTTTGTTCTGTGTAAGAAACACAAAAAAACGCTACCTTACAGCTAAAGCTGCTCAATATTAAGAAAATATGAAGTTGCATTATTACCGTTGAATGTTGACRAATCCCTCCCTGGTTTTTAGCATCTGTTATATCACGCAGCTCTACTAACAGCCATACCAATCACCTGATAACCCACAAAGCACTACTCTTTCTACACATCATTTTCAAAATAAAAGTTGATTTTGTCAAAAAAAAAAACCTGCATAACACCAGAACATAATTGCAAAATAAAAAGGTGCCAAAAACCACACAAGCCTGATAACTTCAAAGCACTGGATTTAAAAATATATATTTGTGCTAATATTTATTTTATAACTTGGATATTTATGAGCCTTACCAGGACTGAAATGTCTCTCCTGCTCTTTGTTCTCTTMAGCTGGATAAGATTCATGACATAGTGGGTGAAGTGAACAAGAAAACAGGGGAGGCAGAGTGCCAGTTCTACCGGCGGGGTCTTATGTACCACGAGGAGAGTCAGAGACTTCCAGAGATCCAACAGTCTCGCTTCCTCTACTGCCACGGGGAGCTCAAGAACAATAAGGGACAGGTATGTTCAGTGACTGCGGGTTTACTAACTGACCTTTGTGACGAGACAGCAGAATATTTTAGACTYCACATCTAAAATGCTTCCTTTCTCACACAAAGGCTGTCTCTATCAATCTCTCTCTGTGTGTCTTTGTCAGCGGCTGCACGTGTTCCTGTTTGAGCTGGCTGTGGTCCTGACCCGACCAGGCGAGGACCGAGACCTCGGGCAGGTGTTTCACGTGTACCGGCAGCCGCTGCCCAACGCTTTGATCAATCTGGAGGAGATCCCGGACGGCGAGGCGGCAGGGGGAGGAACCTTTAGGGGAGCGTTCACCGGGGGAAATGATAAAGGTAACGCGTCGCAAGAATACGCGATTATTTTACTTTGAATACATAAATTATCAAATCTTCAGCACCCTCAAAAWATGTGCAGGGTGGGGGAGAGATGATGACACTCGTTTTATTTGTTGAACTGAAACCTACAACTCTGCTTTCACTCCATTTTCCTTCCTTCTCCTTCCTGTCGTCCCACAGTGAAGAACTGTTTCCGCGTGAGCAGCAGAGGGCGCTCCAAAGTCAACCCCTACTGCCTGCAGGCCAACGACTCCTTCAGCAAGCAGCAGTGGATCAGCTGCCTGCGCCAAGCCATCGTGCAGGCCCGGGACCGGACGGCTCAGACCAGCCAGTCGCCGCTCTCCCTGCACCTGGACCCCGCCTTGTGTCACATAGCAGACCTGAGCCTGAGCTCGGACACAGACATGGCGGATCACACCAGCCGCTGAGTCTGAGCGCCGAGGACCGATCGGCTCTGGGGAGATACGAAACGGAACTGTTTGTGAAAGAAAAGACAAAAATCTTTATTTTTTAATTTTACAGACCTATTTTTTTATTATCTTGCTTTTTGTGAATGATATAATGACTGTACATACTGGAAAACAGTATTCTTGAATGTGAATTTAAAGTGGGAAAAGTTGTGACATGCTGTTTTATTTTAACTTTTTTTAATAAACTGACAGTTAAAATATTTGTTGAGCTGCTTGAACACAATGACACGTCTATGTTAGCCAACACAATCCACAGGGAAAAGATTAGAGATGATTATCCTCCCTCCCCTCTGTCTGCCTTTCACTCTCTCTCTCTCTCTCTCTCTCTCTCTCTCTCTCTCTCTCTCTGGTACCAGTGACAGGACGGACACAGAGAGGTAGACTTTCAGTTCTACCCTACAAACACACAGTGAAACCGTAGACGTTCCCTTATGCATTTTTAACAGCTCAGCAGATGATGGGAACAGTTTGGTTCGGACACTTTGTCCACAGATAGAGAGGCGCTCAGGTGAGTCCAAATCGCTCCGTTCTGTTAATGCTGCGGGTTTTCRCCAGGAATCGCTTGCAAAATAGCTGGTGAGAGAGAGGTTACTTACCTGCTTAGCGGTTGGCATTAGCTCATTTAACAGGTGTGTGGCGCTTTCTAGAATCAAGGTTACGTAACTTTAGCCTTTTAGCTTACGTCTGCTGTTTAGTTGATTCAATAGTGGGATATCCAAAAGTTTGTTTTTATTAGTTTTTCAGTGGCATGTGATTTATTTGTTAGTCTTCTAGGCTCAATTTTACATGTAAGAAATGTGAGCTGAAGTCATCAGAACTGTTCGTTTCCTTGCAGCTGTGAACGCCTCCCCTGACTTTCGCCTGGAAGAGCATGAGAAGTAAACCTGAAACAAGGAAACGTTTCTCTTCAGTTCGTGCACTTGTTTCTGCACCCTGCCACCCTTGCAAGTTGAAGAACACTGAGGAGATACAGCTCAGCCGATTCAATTTTTAGTTTATTGTTGTGTGTGGGGGGACCCTTTGCTTGAGGTCGCCTCTTCAGACAGAGGTCAAAGGACACGACAGGATGCCTGGCTCCAGTGGCGTCAATGTGGAGGGTTCCTGTGAGGCCCTGTGTCGGACCCTGGTGTCTCAGAACACCCTCCAGAGAGAGACCACCGACATCTCCCAGTCGGTGCTCTACACGTCGCTGATGGGCCTGCTCCTGGTCACCGACAACGAGGTGCGGGGCAGACAAAAACGTCCCGTTTGTTCTTAAACATGGATTTCAATTAAGGCAATGCCGATGAGAAATGTAAACACTGACAGGAGAAATCATTTGAAAGCGTTAAGAACCCTCCCCCCCACACACACACAGCAACACGCACGTGTTCACGCACCTGTTGGCCCTCCTTGGGGTCTCTAATAGGATGTAAGCTTCAGACTGACCTGGTTTTAGCCTCTCCTGTTGTGCTAATGAGATAAGAAGGCTAAATCTGTCCTGCCAAAGTTAAACACAGGCAAACATGGCAGGGTTAMAAAAAAAAAACAAGCWTGAGTACAGCCAGGGGTCAAATAGGAGGACGTGTGACAGACAGTTATATAACATGTTGCAGGTATTTGATTCTATTTCTGATGTTTCTTTATTTTAGGAAGGGCCTCTGGCTTTGGGAAGCGGAAGACTCRGGCTCAGGAATATTGGAAACACAGTAGGTGTTCAGATGAAGCTTTTCAAAGATTTATCTGCCAGATGACTGGAATATTTGTTACATTAACCCGCTCATCACTCTGTGTTGTGTTAGTGTTTCCTGAACGCMGTGGTCCAGTGTTTGTCTCACACACGGGTCTTGCGGAACTATTGCCTCTTGAAGTCCTACAAGCATGAGAAGTACTCCAAAGAGGATGCAAAGCTCATGGACTGTATGCTTCTCTCTCTCTCTCTCTCTCTCTCTTTGGAATTTTCTATTCAGTGATCCAGTTTAAAGAGTTCACGTCCTCGTATTGATTTTGTTTTATTTCTTGTTTCGTACCAGCTTTCTCTCAGGTGCTGTCAGGCCTTTGGGTTGTGACTGAAGGRGACACGGTTGTAAATCCTCGACACTTTTACTGTATTTTCAAAGAAACAGTGCCTTACTTCAATGGTTACAGGTAAAAAAAATCTGCTTTTTCAAGTTTAATATCRACTCTATAAGAAAAAGCTAACTTGTAAGCATTCAAACTAAGGTGTTAGGACAGTGCTACCAAACAATCCAGGAAATGTAGCATAGGATTTTGTCTTCTGTTTCCTAAATGAGAAGTTTATGGCTTTTTGTCCAACTAATGACACATGATGGTAAAGTCCATTTCTTGAATTAATAGGTACAGTATGTTGCCTTTAAAGCCAGAGTTTAGAAACTGCTCCGGTGGGSACAGTTAATGCAGGCTAACAGCACAGGGGCCAAACATGCAGCAATTAAAGTCATTATATATAAACCAATTATTATAAAGATCTTTATTTTGCTGCATTTAATCATGAATACACCATACAGAACCCTTAAAAATGTAGTCATAATAAAAAGCAAATATCATAAGCAAAAATAACACATTCTGTCTCCTATTTACCACAAATTCATTTGACATCATGACTTGCCAAATTTTTTTGACCAATTTTATTTTCCTTTTCTTAGTTTTATCTTCAACTGCTTGTAGTTTTAACTGTCTTGGATGTTCATAGAAAGGTTTTTACCAGTTTCTAGCCAAGACTCCGACATTTCTGTAGAGACCAGTAGTGGTAATTAAAGTAGAAAATCTGGTTTGGGCTTAAGAGACTAATGAAAAAATTGGCGGGCCGAACTTACGTCATTCGTGGGTCAGATGTGGCCCTTGGGCCGCCAGTCGGATAGCCCTGGTTTAGACTGACTGAGACCATCTAATGATTGTAGCCTATTTTGTCCAAACGTTGACATGTTTTTCTCTTAATCTTATGCGAAAYTGTGAGATTTTATGCTCAGATTAGGTTATAAATGACTCACTCAACTGCATCATATTTTAGCTCGGTTTATGTTAAACTGACGTAGTTATAGCCATTTAGTACATTCAGTAATTCTTTTCTGAGAGTTTCATTAAAATGAGTCCAGTTATGAAATATTTTGGCGGCAGGCACGCAAGGACTCCGGTAAAAATCATCATCTGCCTTCCCCTTTTATCATCTTTCATGAGTTTTGCTTCTCTTTGCAGTCAACAGGACGCTCAGGAGTTCCTCAGGTTTCTGTTGGACAAGCTCCACACTGAAATAAATCGCCGACCAAACGTTAAGAGAATGGTGAAAGAGCCGGAGCAAAAATATGCCAGATTTCGGTGCGTATGTGTATGTGTGCGTGAGGGGGGAAAAATTCTTGTTTTTGCTTGTGAACTTACTTTGCTCTTTTCTGATTTTTGTGAAGGATTTCGGAGGAGGCAGCTGCCATGTGGAAGAAGCACTTGGAGAGAGATGACAGTGTAATAGTAGGTGAGGAGGGTTATTGACACGGCTTCCTACGAGGAATAAACTCATTCAGACGAACACACATTTCATCTCCTCTCTCTCCTCGGACAGACCTGTTCTCTGGCCAGCTGCGGAGCTCGCTTCACTGCTCGGTTTGCTCGCACTACTCCAACACATTCGATGTGTTTTGCGACCTGTCGCTGCCCATCCCCAAACGGAGCTCTGGGGGGGAGGTCACACTGCAGGAGTGTCTGGACCTGTTCTCCCAGGAGGAAAAACTGGACAAGGAAAACTCGCCAGTAAGTTAACAGCAATCCATGAAAAAACTGTTTGAACTGTACTCCAAATGGAGACGAGCCTGAGCTGTTTGTTTCTGCTTTCTTCAGATGTGTGCGAGGTGTAACAGGCGGACAGAGTGCACCAAGCGGCTGTCCATCCACAGGTTTCCTCAGGTCATAGTGATCCGTATCCTTTGCAGCATCTCTTCCTGTAAAAAGAAAAAAAAAGTTTAAAAAGTACTGTTCCTGTGCAGAGTTGTTAAACTTAACAGAGTCAAACAGACTTGAATCGTTTCACAACATCCCGGTGGTCTATCAGTAAAAGCACCGTGTACGTGTCATTTCCTCTCACAAAGCTAGACCTCGGACGCTACGGACCTGTCGACTGTGGTAAGCCTTTTTTAATCTGTCAATAGAAAAGACTATTTAATGAACAAGCTCACTACGTGCAGGTATTTAACATTAATTGAAAAGTGCTAGAAAGGTCAGAAACATTAAAAAAAAAGTTGATTTTATGGCATTTGATTTAAAGCAAAATGCAGAAAAGGCCTCCTGCTGGACCATGGTGTTAATTCAAGATAAACTACAAAAAAAACTGACTCATCGAGTAATTATGTTTTCTGACAAACACTTGCTAAATGCAAAGTTTTGTTTCAGGTATGATTAAGATTTGACCAAATAAAGAAATGATGAAGTCAATAATTACAATCACATGATTGACTTATCACACATCACATGAGGACAAAACCAACAGTTTGCTACAGACTAAGAAATAAAAGCTAAGACACATTTTGAATAAACACAATACAACAGAATAAAGAAATAAAAAGTTTGAACATAAATCTAGATGAAGAGGGTTGATCAGTTCATTTATACCATCTGTTTGCTTCAGTAAAAAGAGGTTGTTTTATTTGATGCAATCTTCTGGCTTTGTTAGACAACTTTTAGGGTTTGGCATTTCTCATTCATAATTTACAGTATTAGCATGTGTTGTATTATGATAGAAACTTAATTGAATCTGGATATGAATTGCATTTGTGATTTGGACTTTTTTAAATTTATTTATTCATTCATTCATTCATTCATTCATTCATTCATTCATTCATTCATTCATTCATTCATTCATTCATTCATTTTGCCCTGAAGTGGGTTTTGTTGTAAATTGGTGCTTTAGAGAGAAACTGAATTGAAGTGAATTAATGAGAACAACTAGAGTCAAATGTTCACAAAGAAAGAAACCCAGCCTGCAGATCACAGGTAGTCAGTGTCAGCTAAAGATTCTCAAACTTTAATTTAATAAAATCTGAAGAGAATATCATCAGGGCCTGTGATTGGTTCACTTGTTCTAATACCTGCAACTTGATGTTCTTCCAAACAGCTTAAAAAAATTGTATCAAAATTTTCTGAACTTTATTTCTGATTGAAGTTGCTGTATCTGTTCATCCCTACAGGTTCTGTTCTGTACGACTTGTATGCAATATGTAACCATGCTGGGACTGTGAACATGGGCCATTACACGGCCTGTTGTTTAGACGACAATGGTTGGTGCTTGTACAACGACTCCAGGTGAGATGTGTCCTGCAATCAGAACGCTTTCTTTTAGTTTTCCTCAGCAGTGTTTCATAAAACAGYTATGTGTTGGGACATATTTTCATTAAACCAGAACCAGCTTCTTCTCATTTCYCTCTATTTATTCCCTCACAGTGTGACCCTGCTCACGGAGAACCAGCTTCAGACCAATCAAGCTTATGTGCTGTTCTACCAGCGCAGCAACAGCACCGCCGCCGTCAGGAAATAGTCCCGCGATCGAACGGCTGAGCCAGGCAGCCAATCAGAACAACTTTACCTCCTGTGTCCATAGAAACAAATAGAAGCTGCAGAGTTGTAACCCTGACATCTACAGTAAARTAAATAAATAAATAAAAAACATCTTTTCAGTCTCAATGAGCACAACTTCAAACCACATGGAAGAGGGAGAAGCCATGCTCAATTTCACATGGATTAAATCTTGGATCTGCTTTTAAAATGACTGACAAAGAAATGAGACAGCTCAGAAAACCTGCCGCCACGAGTGTCTGCTTCCTAATTCTCAGGCAGGCAGGAGTGAAAGAGTCATGAACCTGAGATGTACTTACACATCATAAAGAAATCATGATGTATGCGTAGTATGATGTTCTATACGTGATTCATGATTGCTAATATGAGCACAAATACCAAAAGTGAACTAAATAGAACTGTCAATGAGGAAAGTTCTCATGATTTATGATGTGTGCAAAGATTCATTTTACAACTTCTTTATTTATAAGTGCATATAAATAAATCAAATCTTGCAGTTAATCAATAAAAGATTTTGTTAAGAACTGTCACTGGTAGCTACTTTTATTTTTATTTTTGCCAAGATAAAAGAAAACATTTTACATAAATACGCACATACTAGTGATTGAAACTTTAGTACGGAGGGAACACACACATACACACACGTG